TTATAAGCATCGATTCTTATTGTAAAAAATGTCTATTAATTAGGCGTTGGTTTGTTGTGATGCTTTACATATTGTTGTTGTTTTTATTATAAGTCTCGATTGATACTTGTCTCTTATAGCACCAAAAACATAGATTTCTCCATCAATTGTAAGTGATTACGTTAGATTATACCACTAATGTATGATATAACGTATTTTTCAGTTTATTTTGGAATAATTTGGAGAAGATTTTGTCTTTAGTATTTCTGATTGTGAGTTAATTAGCTGATCATTATCACCCGAAGACAGCATCATACCTTTTCTAACCGAAAGAACGGAAAATCTCCAAAAACGTTTGGATAAATTGTTCATGGCACCCTGAGATTGTTCAAAAATCGTTTACTTATTTTATTCGATTTGAATAATGTACACTTGTATTAAGTCTGGTAATACTACAATTGCAATTGTTGTGATCAGTGGAATACGTGAATTGATTTGGAACTTGTTACTTCATTAGTTAAAAGTTTAGTGTTTATACCATAATCCAACTACTTCGGTTATTTGATAGAATTATCAATTGCTAAACATACATAACACTACAATTTTTTACTTTTTCCATCAGGAGTTGTTCTCTGGTATTATTTGTAATTGATTTAATAAATATCGATTGCTTATTGCAGGAATAAACGCTTTTTCAATAAAAGAAAATAGATTTTTTGATAGAATTACGAACATGTTTCTTCCACAAGAATGGTTATTTATCAGCTTCTGTTCTAAGACGTTGAATTGAGAAAGATTGGGGTGGAAACTAATCGTCATTTGATGGTGCATTAGTTGATCGGGTTGCCTGTTTATTGTTTTATTGATGAAAATCAGCAAGTGTGGATATCCGAAGTCTCTACATTTGATGTATTCTTACCTGGGCTTCAACGATTTATCATCACTTGCTCTCCATTTCCTTCAATCTTTTGTCACGTTTCCCATTTTGCATTAACGTATATGAGTAACATGTTTTTAAAACGGGAACAATTTTTAAAGGTATGAAATATTCCACCTCTTCAGTGTACACTGGTAATGTGCATCAATCCATCAGTTACTTCAATCAACCAAATACGGTGATTGCGCTCTTAGTTTACTGTCGACATGTTATACGATCAAAGGTATACGCCACCACATCATGTATTACTATGTTGATTTTTGTAAAGCTGTTTTGATCTATCTTTTAGGTTTAGTTCAGAAAGTCATTAATCCTGCTTTGGACATTGTTTTTTGCACTTATCCCGTTTATTCACTCATTCATATTTACCTTTCTAAACTAAATCATCAATTCGTGTCGATCCAGTTTCTTTTCAACACAGGAACTTCGGGATTTTAATTTAAACAATGGCAGAGGATTGCCAACCATAGGTGAACAATATATGCAAGCGTTCTCGCTACCATCTTTTCCTCAAGTAAATCAAGATTACAAGCCTATTCTTGCTCATCTTGTCTTTCTTTAAACCTCTACATTGGTTCATTAGTGAATGGGGCATTGTAAGGATGAATTGTGATTGGTCTTAATTAAAACGTAATTTTTTAAGAAAGAAAACTCATATGCCGATAGAAGTAGGATCATTTCTAAATAACTATAGTTTTAAATCCTTTGAACATATTAATCCATCTATAAGAGGCGTCGATAAATTATCTTTCACATGACTTTCTATCCTGTTTACTCGGGACAGTAAAGATACATTTTTCATCATAAAATGATAATATAGATTATTTTGTGAATTGATTAATCGACTTCAATTCCAATAATTAGAATGCTTTCTTGTTCTTTTTTTTTTTGGTTTGGCAATGTTTAATAAATTTTGAAATGTAAATGTATATATGACCTTAGTTATTCTGATTTTTAATAATTATGTAGTAATGATTTGTCATCTAATATAATTTTTTGATCATACCTAGTTTTATCTTGGAAAAGGTATCCTTTAGAGTAGTAAGATAGATTTATTGCATCAATTTAACTTGTTCGGTAATAAGTATACTACCTTTAATAAATCCTAAATTAATTCGATTGTTGAATAGTAAGTGGTGTCTATCGCAACATTTTCATAGCGTACACTTCTGTTTGTGTATAAAATGTAGCTAAGCGTGTATCTAATACAGAGATAAGAAATTTCTTAGCGTTATTTTCTTTATTTTGTTATGTTTAAAAGAAACTTTTATGCCAGAGTCATTGTACTAACAAGAGTTCACTAAATTGAATCGGGTAAGCTAAAACTCAAACGTAATTACGCTACTACTACTACTCACTCATGATTTCACTGATGTTTTATAACGTCTAATCAGTTAATATGAATCGTTTACTTAATAAACTATTGATTTCTATCCATAAACGTTTTGCTTGGAGAGTAACCAGTCTATTTGCCATAATATCTGTTCCAATCACTATGATAAACTATCGTCTTTTTAATTGTACAATGGACATTTATTACTATTTGTAGGTATCATTACCAAGGTTTGATTTGATAATTTCGAATAAATCGAGCATTGGGTTGATTGTTATAAATAAATTATATATTTGTAATATCCCAATGAGTAGAAAAATTAGATTTTCTGACGTTTCGTGGCTTAGTGTAAGTCACTTCTTCAGAGGATAATAAATAACCAAATTAAAATTAATCCAAGTTTAAATAGTACAATGGAACAATACCGTTGTACTATTTAAACTTGGATTAATTTTAATTTGGTTATTTATTATTTTCTGAAGAAGTGACTTGCACTAAGCCACGTAACGTCAGAAAATCTAATTTTTCTACTCATTGGGATATGACAAATATATTATTTATTTATTTATTACTATTACATAGACCTCGACATTATCCAGATTCTTGAGCAGTAGCATCATTAATCTTGTGAACGTAAACGGTGCACCCGCCAACCCGAACGGCATTCGTTTAAATTGTTTTGTTTATCACGTACAGTAAATGCTGTCTTGCTGCGATCGCTATCTTTTATAGGTAGTTGCCAATAACCTGACCGTAAATCCAACACCGAAACACCGTGGCATTCTGTGGCCGATCTAATGTTTCCACCACTGTTGGCATTGCACAAGGCTTCAGGTCTGTTATATTATTCAGTTCTCTAAAGTCGACACAAAATCTATACTTTCCGTTGGGTTTCTTTACTAAGAGTACCGGTGAGCTATATGGGCTGTCCGCTTCCTCAATTATACCTTCTTTCAACATTTCCTGGACCTGTCGATTTACCTCGGCCTCTTAATGCACCGGGACACGACGTGTTGCAAATATATTTACTCGGTCGTTCTTTATCGGGATTTCATGCTTTATTTTGTCACAAACTCCATACGGCTCCCCATCTCCAGTGAACAGTTTCGCATACTTTTTGCATAACTCGTTAATGTTTGGTTTCTCCGTTGAGACGTCCGTTGCCACTCTTATTTCAGCCACTTCGCTACTTTCGTGTATTGGCAATGAACCACACTTTGTGACCACCTTACCGCTTCTTAAGTCAATTATCGCTTTTACTTCTCTTAGGAAATCTGCTCCTAGTATCGGTCTCGATAAGCTTGTGGTTACCACCAACGGAAAATTTATCTCAGCTGCACCCACTTTTACAATACTGTTAGATACCCTCAACACCTCTAACATATGCCCTCCTATAGTGTGGACAGCTAATGTACATGGCTTGAGTGTCTTACATTGCTGTTTGCCTATTAACGATACCGCTGCTCCTGTATCGATCAGACATACTAAATCCCGTTCATCTATGTTCACTCTCGTATAAACTGCCCCTCTATCTACTAATGCGACAAACCCCAGATTCCTAGGGTAGAAAGAACACACGTTATAACGTCTAAAATATCTATGTCGTCGTCTTGTTGGACGGTTTGCCTTCCAATGTCCTGTCCCTCCACAAGCGTAACATTTATCGTTTCTTTTATGATTTACTCGTAATGCTGCAATCTCACGCTCTAGCTGCTCAGTCTTCTTCTCGGCACCACTTATATCCTGCTTTTCGTACCCGACCGGAGCTACTGTTCGTGTCAATAGCTGACGAGTCACCTTCGCCAGTTCACTGACACCCATAGGTTGTGCTGCGTTTACTAACTTCAGCTGTTGAAAAACGGTGACAGGGACACTCTCCATAAACTGCGACGCCAGCAACTGCGCCTCCGACTCCTCATCCAGATTTGGCAGAGCACGGCGTAACAACCTGGTGAGCTCCACAGCCAGCACCAATGGGTCACCACCGACCGGCAACCTCGCCGACCAGAACTTCTGCAGTGCTTCTTCCCTGTCCATTGGGCTGTCGAACCCCGCCACCAACCGTTCCGTAACTGCCTCCCACGTCTTCTTCCCGCCAGCACCGTCCAAGCTGTCATATACAGCCTTCGCCCTGGCTCTCAGCAGCGTCCCCAGGACCACCAACTTCGCCTTCGGCTCCTTCACGCCCAACAGCTTCGCCACGGCCTCAAACTCCTTCAGGAAGAGCAGCACATCTCCGTCCTCAAACTCCTTCAGCCATGGGATCTTCATCGTCAGTGGAGGCAGCGGCACCAAATGTAGTGAACAAGAACACAGGTGGGGACAACGGAATTGTATTCAGCTAATATTACAGAGTTAATTGGTAAAATAGAAAAACCATATATTAAATCGTTAATTTGCGAAACATCAATCCTTCATATTAAACTGAACTGTTCCTGTTGCAAATATCAATCCATTGACTGACATTTCCTTGTTCATGATTTTTTATACAAATTCCATTGTGTTGCCGCTCTTCCTCTCTTGATTTTCCCCGATCTTCTGCTGCCCGACATTACGTTTAAAACTCGCGTTATATACTACTTATTATATCAATATAAGTAGCGCGCACCACAATAGTAGTGCAATTACAAATCGTGCACCTATTCAGATGATTCTTTTCTATACTTTCGTTTTACTGCTCTATATTTAACCATTTAGGTTTCCACATGAATGTTTCTGTATAAAATGTTAATTTCTGCATTTTTCTTTCAGTTCTTTGTGGTCTAAGAGTTAGTCAAATGGCTCAAACTTATGAAGATTTGGATGCTATTACTCAGCTCTTAGAAGAAGTAAGTATTTCTTTTTATTAGCAATATTCGGAAAACAAACTTGAAGTAAAGATTTATGATGTCGAATAATTTATATAGTCCGTTTTGACGTTAAAATTCCATTCCGGCTATAAAGGGTTTAAAAAGTTTTAATATGTGCATATCTTTTAAAACTGAAGATGTAAATTTCCAGTAGGTTTTTTTATTTATTATATTACAAATAAGTGTAGAAATTAATCAGGATTTAGACACACTGTGAATATTCAGACTTTTAATAACTCCCAGTTTATTTCTTATAGGTGTGGCTAAACTGTTTCATAGTTAATTGGGAAGCTTCAATAATTATCAATGGAATCTTTCTTAATTTATTTTTTACTCTATAGATGTATTTAGTATAATAAGATTATTTTGATAGTATACAAAAATTCCTATCAATGAATATATATATATATATATATATATATATATATATATATATAATGCTAATAATGGAATTTTAATGAACTCCTTCAAATATCGATGGAAAATATGTTGTGACAATCGTCATTGTTCTGATAATTTCAACAAATCTAATATCAATTAATGATTCTTGTTTTTTAGAATCATTTATTCTCCTAATACAGTTTCAAAATATTTGTTATTCTGTACTATAATCTAGAAACAAACAGACCTTGAATTGGCAGCGAAAATCGGTAAAAATCTATTGGCGAAAAATCATGACCTTCAGTCGAGACTACTAGAGACTGAAAAGAATCTTAATGCACGTGATGAGGTTGTAAGTCGTATGTATATGTTTTATTTATGAAATTTTATTTTACGTATTATGTAATCAAGACAAATAAAGAAAAAAAACAACTCATACCTTTTGTTTTCAATGAGTTTTATTTTTTAGCTTTCTTCATACTATTTTCAGTGATATAAAAAATGATTTCATTGTTTTTTACGGTCATAGCTATTTCAGTATTGATGTTGTTGCTTTTCTTCATTTATTCCGTTTCCCCTGTTACCAGGATATTTTATCATAGATCTAGTCTCGTCTAGAATCAGTTACCAGTACTATTGCTGGATTTTAATCTGATCTTGATTCTTTGTGTATTTCTTAATTTATTATTCATAGATTCTTATTCATCGTTGCTTAATCATTAGCTTTTTTTGTTGTGTTACCGTCCGCTGAACAATTTCCAGATATAGTAAAGTTAATAATTTATTTATAGTGTAATAATTAAATTTAATTGATATCAAAACGATGTATCATAGATACATACTTATTTGTTTGCTTGAATTAATAATATATTTTGTTTGGTGATGATTGTTCTTAATCTAGACCAAAGTCTTTTGTTGTTGTAAGTAGAGTAAAATAATAAATTATTATCACTATTTGCTACATTAAGTAAATTGAAGTGGAAAAAAAAGTGGTGGGATCACATCAGAACAGTGATATTAGCGTATGCAGTTTTTCTCTCATGTCAACTAGAACTAGTAAAATAAATTGACCCCTTTGATAAATTTCGATAATGTAATAAGAAGACGAAGACTATCAGAACTATGTGATATATTAGCGCAATACATTTCGAACAATCTGATCACACATATACTTGTTAAGAACATTTATATGTAAAAATAAAAGGTCAACTAGACTGGAAATAGTGTAAGAGGATCAGATTGTTCGGAATGTATTGTGATAATATACCACATAATTCTGATGATCTTCGTCTTCTTATTAAAGATGTTCTGGTTATCACATTTTTGTTTTTTTTCTATACTGATTTAAGTTACAATATAGCAAATCTTTTGATGCATAAGTAATCAGAGTTGTGCAGTCTGAAATTCAACAGTCTTGGTTATAAGACTTCAGTCTCATACAGTTAAAATATGACTGAGTATTTAAGGAGAACGTTATTATGAATTAATTTCGAACGATCTGGCTACACAAGTTCAGTTTTTCATAGTTCATCGTAAGAGAGCACCAGGTCGGTTATTCAGTAAATTTTCATTCCCTGCTATTATTAACATACTAACAATGTCAAGTGTGTAAACTATGCTATGTGTATACGGCTTATCGATTTTAATGAACTTTATTTCTTGTATATATTTTCAGATTAGTCAGCTAAACCATAATCTCTCTGTGAAAGATAATTTACTACGTATATTCCTACGAGATTCCGATCAAATAACTGATATTAATGATGATGAAGTTAGTGTATTATCCAGTGGACGTACATCACCTGTTCGCAGTCAGCAGGGATTATCGTAAGTTTGTACTCGTGAATTGTTTTTTTTCATTTTATTGTTATATCGCTCAGTTACTTACTTTGTAAGAGTTACTACTCAGTAGTTTGATCATCTGTCAACATTCTGATCATAATTTCTTATGCTCACTATACAATAACTCCAATTTCAACACATAGGGTTACGGAGTTACATCAGTTGGTAAAAATGATACGAATACTATTTATTAATCGTCTTCTACATTGTAAATATATGACTGAGACAATGACGTGTTTTTGAATTATCTCATCCTCTTTTGCTTACTTGCTGAACTAAATTGACTACATACTATTGGCTTAAAGTTTACTTAAGTAATAACTTTTTGTGCATGCTGATAAGCACTGAATTTGGTTTCTTCCGTGAATGCCAGTACTGGGATCCATTTGGATCTAGATGAGAAGTCTTAATTAGAATGAAATATGTTTACTATATTTATGGCGGTAAGAGCTACTGATAATGAATTAGCTGTTGTTTATTAAGAATCCATCAAACTTTCGCATGTGTAAATTACGCTTTGTGTATATATCATTTTCTACTTTAGTGCTACAGCTATGTGCGACTCATTTTCATTCATTTGGTTTCTCATAAATACAGACGATGTCACAAATATGTACTGTTTCATGTAAACACAGTCATAGTACAAATTAAATTACCTCTGTCTGTTCGTGACATAGTTTGTTTTCTACTCTATCTTATTTTCAAGACAGCACTTCAAGAGAAAAAGAGCAATTGATTTTTCAAAATTGTTTCGCAACTGTTACTTACCATTTCAACGCAAAAAATAATCCATACATTGCCCACCTTTTTTTAAGAAAATAAATGCATTCAATCCTGTGGTTCACATCCATTAATGAGTCACTTGGCTGGTTGCTTGACCTTAAGGTTGATTATTAATGATTTTGGGGCAGACCAATTAACTATTGATTGTCTGACTATTTTAAGTGTTTCTGTCCCTGTTGACTCATTCCCAACCATTTGTAGCTGTGCCTTAACATTTCCCTTTTGTAATTACCCAGGGGTTAAACTTAGTTTTTTTCTTTTCTGAATAATATCATTATATCCCGGCCACAGAACTGTTATTCCAAATGATGGACAGTGAGTGTTTGGCGAAAGTTATATTTTGAATGACAATAGGATAGTTTGGGAAAAACGGGCATTAGAGTCGTATTTTGTGTTTGATAGTTTTCATTTAGCAGTATGTAAGTTAGTTAATATATTTTATCTATTTTTCTCCTAGTGATACTTTTTTAGTAGTGTAAAGGCTGTTATTTTGTACTTTTGCATATTCTCAACCTTTGTTTAATGGACTCCTCTGTAAATGCTACGTATTATTTCTACTATTCCAGCATTGTTTTTTTTTTATAAATATGTGTATGCATATATAAGCTAAAGTGTAAATAGAACTCATGTGATCGTTAGTTTATTCAATTGGTTCTATTACATTTTACTAAATAATGTAATCTCACCCTCATACAGTTATTTCTTTCTGCACAACACGTTTTTATTTTTATTTTCGATGATATAAAGGAAAACCATTGGGATTGAAAGCTAACTGTTGTCGAATTTATTGTTCCTTTATTCGATTAATTGAAGTGTACAGAACTCAGTTACTTTTGTGGGTGGCCTGCCTAACCAGTGGGCTAGGAGGACCTCCTCCATCCCGTTGTTTTAGTCCCCGAATGCCCTGGTACGGCGGGGAATGGGGAGAGTCAGCTCTCCGTCTCGAAATTCTCTCACATGGTCACGTGCATACAATCACTGTCAGGGAAGTCCCACTCACTGCCTTCTCGTGGTGGGGGTGTTGTTTACGAATTTGAGAGGACGAAAAGCGAATTTCCGGCGCTTTAATCGGATCGTTGGATATGGGAGATCCACCTAGGCTATTTGGGAAACTCTGATTCCAAACCAATGGTGAACATGGGCTCCAGGATCCTGAAGGAACAAATGGCGTATGAACCAATCGTTGGTCACCAGCTAACATGGGAATACATCTCTTTACAATGCTCCACTGCCTTGTGGATCAGATCTTTAGACCGAAGGCTCCGGGTGTGGTCTCCTAAGAAAACCAATTGCTTCGGTCTGGGCACCCGGGCAGTATCACAGCCCACACATAAATAAAATGAAAATTTGTGTGGCGCATATGTATTCGGTGCCCCCCTTTGTACCAATGTATGTGTTTAAATAAATAATAAAATAAATAAAATTATAGGTACCAATTATTTCACCCACCCATTATTACTGTTCTCTCCAAAATAGTGTTTGCCCATCTTAGTTTTCTTGTTTCATTTCGAATGAGATCGAACTAAGCATCGGAGTTCAGTTAATTATTAATAAGAACTGACAGTGACTGATTTGAAAACCACTTTAAAAGCTGTGTAAGTAAACTATTTGTGTTACTACATAATCCAATTTTTCTCTCATTTACAGTAATCCCCATTTGTCTCGTTGCGTTTTATTTTGTGTATGAAAATGTTTTTAAACTTCATCTTTCACTTAGTATGTGTTGTTTTGGGTTGAAAAAGCTTAGTCACTTATCAATTGCGTCATTTAGTTAATTGTAAACATTCTTATTTTTCAGTCAATAGTAGTTGCAAGCTGAGAAGTATTTGTGATGAAATTTAAAGATAGTATTTTTTCAATCAACTAAATGACATTTTGTTTAGCATTAACTTAGCTATATGTATAGTGAATGCTGGAGATTTGATTGTTCATACAGTAGATCCTTATCCAGTCAAACTCATTATTGCAATGTGAGAAGATAATTTATCTTGATGTCGTTCATCTACTTATGTCTATGGGTAGTGATATTTATTACTCCTAACTCTAATTACCAGGCAACTATTTGTGTATTTGGCTTCGAGCCATACTTTGAGTATAAGAGCTAGTGATATCATATAGTTCCCTGAACTGAGTCATGTTTAGCGGGTTTGGAACCTGCGACTTAGTGCCTGAAGGATGAACACCCGAACTACTAAGCCACCACTCCGACATCTATGTGATTGCTATTATTTATGTCTACTTCTTAATGTTAATTCTCGTCTACTTTTTTGGTAGAATCTCGTTATCTGCAAAATTTTTGATGGTAGATTTTATGTTAATTTAGTAGTTACCTGTTTTAAATGCAATATCTTTCTGAGTTATAAGTTTACGTCAACATTATGTGGTCTGTCTCATCCTAATATGTCTGTAATCAAACTAGTATTTATTCTTACTTATCTTGCTAAATTGCGCTTTATTCTTGGTAGATAGAACGTATTTGACTGTTATTGCTTATCTGTAATATGGTGGCATAGTGTTTTTTCAGTTATCGTTGTAGACAGTTAGGTAGTGTTTCTAAGACAGCTTTTCCTCCACATTGTGGATTCATAAACATTTATTTCTTTTGCCTTAGAGAATTTAGTTTTTCTTCTCGTAGTTTGTGTTCTTTCTGCCAAATTTGTATGGGTGTTTTTTCTCTACTCATCTTTATCCCCATTGTTTAGTATGTTTTAAAAAAGTTAAGTACACAACTATGATTATTGCTTCACACACAGCTAAGTGATTACAAGTAGAATCAGTTATGTTTAGGATAATAAAGAAAATAATCTACTGAATAACTACTTAGATGTCCAGTCTAATTTTTTGCGTCATCAGATGATGTTCATGTATATTCAAACTGTATCTGGTTTCACTTCATCACTAGTCCAAGAAAATCCGTAATTAAGACTTATTTACATGTCGAATTTTTGATAGGCCAACAACAATTTATTTGTACCTGAAGGAATATTTAATTCATCACCTCACAATCAGAGTAGTTAGTACATTCATCTACTTCTTACGGTAATTTCGGCCCATTTTCTTCGTTTCTTGCATTACCCATACCATTAAAATGACGCGATGCATTACACCTGAATAGTATGCTAACACATACACTAGTATGAGATAATTTCAAAGTCAATTTGGACTATACAGTAGAGTAAAAAAACGCCACTAGTTTATGTCACTCATTTTCTGTACCAATAAATTAGTCGAATTATGTATTTGCTATTCTTGTGGATTCGGATATCCAGTATGTTGATTTTTTAAGCTACCATCTAGATATACTGTTCGATCAGATGAGCGGATTTAATTTATATCCAAATGTAATGCAAATAGAAATTTAAACGTTGAGTAAATGAATTATGTTGTGATCATAGTGTTGGACCGTTAACTGGTTTTCGGTTAGCTAAAAGCATAAAAATGAAAATTTATATCCTGTGTGTTACGTCGGAATATTGGTAGAAAGTGATCATGATGTTTGAATATTCTATCCTTTTGATAACTCTGTTATATCTCAAGATTTCTCGTGGTTATATGATGAACACATTGTGATATGCAATTTTTCACCCAAGAATTCCATTTTGTAATGTGTTAGTTTCTTAAAATGCATTGTTTCCTCACCTCTCTAACATTTTATCTCAATATATTTTCCTGCATATGTGTGTATGTGTGGATTCTTCAAATCACGTGATCTTTGGTGTGTAGGTTTTTTCTTTTGTCATCGAAATGATAATTTTGTCAATACGATTACTTTTCTTATCTAATTGATAGTTTAACGATATTTTTAGCTATGATCGATGTGAAATTATATTGTGAATGTACAAATGTACTTTATTTAATTGTTGGCCAGCTTATAAACGGAATTACTAGTTAAAAATAGATGAATACAAGATTGTTAAGTTCTTTTCTTTTTATTGTGTAACATTTTACATTCATTGTCTTTCAAATTGAAATTCATTTAGATTATTACCTATTCCACTTATCACTTCCAATATTTTCTGCAAAGTATAAATAGTAGCTCACGGTGTGATGTTTATCGGGTTATTATGAAACTGTATAATAATAATAATAGTAATGATGTTCAGTTAACTTTTATGATTTACTCAATTGTATAAAGCTGTTTGACTAATGCAGTAGGCTAACTTGCTAGCTTTTCATATTGGTTTTATTTGGTACATGTGTACGAGTCGTTTACTAACAATCTGATCATACGTTTCCTGTTACATTTATTCTAAAATAATCTAGTTCGAGATATTTCCATGTTAATTGTTTGTACAAGAGATGTGCTATAAATAACGGATTGTTCCTTTAATGTTAAAGATATTGATTGCCCTGTCAGTCCTTGTGATAGATTATCATCTGTTTTTTTCATCTCACAAACGTGGAGTAAGATAATTGTATTATTATTCACTACTTAAATACTTTGGGTGTAACAGTTATTGGATTGTTATTATGACTTGTTGTAAAAACTGTTGGATTTACAGCATCACATCAGGAAGCACTGGACATCTGTGCACAAATGGATTGCCAGTTCAGTTATCCATAGGTTAATTGTTTGTCATAAGGCTTGAATATCCTGTATTTGGTCCCAAGTGAGGTCGTTGATTCACACTTCTGAGAGATCCCTTATTAAGGTAAAATGGCTTCTCGATGCTTCCTCATCTTCGATGATTATTTAACGAAGGTAGATCATGATATGAGACCTCTAACTGGAAGAATATTTTCATACAAATTGATTCAGGGACTTATATTAATCTTTTTTCAAACTGTAATATCATGCTATTGATGTACCTCCGTAATATTTGATATTTCGTGAGATTAGAATTGTACGAACTAGTATTGATTAAGATTTCAACAGTCAATGCATTTGTACTCTTACTGACTTGTTGATCTGTTATATTTTACAAATTATTCAATATATATATATATATATATATATATATCGTGCAAGTAGAAGATTCCTATTTTTCTTATATTTCATTATTGTGTTCAATATCTAAGGATTTGTGTGTTTGTTTTTACTCTGTGTTTCTAACTACTTTCTTTAGAAAATTGATGATTGGCACAAAAGACACTGTATAAATAACTGCTTGGTTGCTGACATAAAAATGTTTCACTGGTTATTTTGTGCATTGTGTGTGCAAGATATTTTATTTCGGAAATGTTAGTCCTTGAAAATTTTTTTTCTTAAGAATGTCGTCATTCTTTTATATCGTGTGATATTCTGCTTTGTTTATGTTTAATTGATTTCCTCCCCAGGGATTCTACTTCTTCATATTGGGTCGTCATGTCCTTTTCAATTGAGGTTACTGTAGTAACAGCTATTGATATTATTGCAAACTCTTGTCTGCTGAATATCAATATTGGTTATGAATATACTTGAATATTTGGTTGTCCGACAGGATAAATGCAGTTTTCTGTATATATTGCATCAGTTTCCTCTGTATGTATGTTAAAGGGAAACGAACTGTTGTTGTTTAGTCATAAATAAATAATCTTTAGCAAAGTAATCGAAAGTCTTTCGATGATTACCAGAATTTTTTGTTTCCGTGTTTTTCGTGTTTGTGGAATAACTGTTTGTTCATTGATATTATCATTATATTATGATTATGACAGATCTAGTGCCGGAGGAGGTGATGGATTTTCCTTATCTTCAGTCAACTTCGCACATTTGCATAAAAAACTTGAAGATCTAGAAGAGGAAAATAATTTACTGCGTCAAGAGGTATGTATGTATGTATCAATGTTGTGACTGAATGTTAACATTTATTTTATGGTATATTTGGTTTGTCCCAAGAAATATTACTATTATTATGTTTTCCGCTCTAATATTGTGACTATATAATGTCTACGTGGTTGACATCTATTTCTAACGGGTTGCTCTCTTTTGTAAAGTACTTATGTACAACTCTTCTTATGGTGACACTCAATATCCAGACAGCTCCCACTATCGAAACCCTCTTATATATACAGTTAAATTATCTGGGAATTAACGTTCAGTAACCCTGACCTCGATTTTATCATCCCGCTTGACTTCCTATATGTATGCGTGGCACTAAATAAAGTGCAGTTTCCCCTTGAACATTGCTTCAACTTAATAGATACCATATGCTGGGTTTGGGATTATTCTATGTGCTGTGAGAAGATTCTCGATCATTTTTTTGTCGTTCCCTCCCTTTGTGAATTGAGGAATCGTTTGGATTTATCAGCAAAACTCAGCCTGGCTGTTCAATTGCGTGCGGTTGATCTCTTCCTCGTCGCTACTGTTATGCTCACGTAAATTCTACTTGATACTGAAAACCCCGAATCTTGTTGATAATTTCCCTTACAGCTGTTTTATTAATGACTTACTATTATAATCTTACAAGTAACATTAAACATTCATATACATTTAGAATTCAGTTCTTGTTCTTACGTAACTAGTAATAATTAATCAATTGCGTAGTTTGGCATCAGTTAAATTACTATCTTAAGAGGAAATATTAAAATTTAGTGTTAAGTAGATCAATCACCATTTATGTGGTATTGATATTTGTCGTAAAACATTCGTATTTGTGTGAAGCCATGACGAAGAATTAATTAAAAATAAATCTGTCTTTGTTCAACTTGTATTTCTATATCTCAATGAGAATATTTAAAACACGATTAGTTTACAGACTTCATATATGTATCCTAATAACAGGGTCGTCTATCATGTTTGCATTCTGAACAGTTGTTTTTCCGGATGTTGTCACTCTAAGCCAGATATGTAATAACTGTCTCATTATTCATCATTAAAATGCTCTAATTGATTGATTGTTGGTAATTTCGTTGACCTCAATTCTTCAGTAGTCTTACTTCGATCATTCTATCTAACATGTTTACCCACAACATATAAACACTGTTATTTTTTATTTTACCACTGATCCAATAATCTACAAATATCTTCTTGCTTCAGTTTGGCTTGTTGCCAATTTGGTGTGCATAAAAACCACTCAAGTGTATTAATTTAACACTGGTAGCTATCTCGATAATCCCTAGGGTTTTAAGAGTTATTGACATATTTTCAATTATGAAATGCTTTTTTCAGTGTTTTGGTCTTCCTTCATTTTGACAAAGTGGCGCCTTTGTTTGCATTCAACCTGAAACTGTTTGCTTATCCTATATATATATATATATATATATATATATATATATATATATACATTCATTGATCCTCGTAGAGTATCAAAGAAATCCATTAAGATGCTAATGTTACACATTTTTTTATGGGATATCAAAAGGTATGATCACGAACGATAAGGCTAATCGGAGTCCTTGCATTTCTTCAATTGATATTTAATTCCCATGTAAACTCCGCCTGGAGCCCCTCCGGGGGCTACTGCCGGTCCCAAGCCCGGATAAAGGAGGAGGGTTAGGCATGGGGTTAGCGACCCCATCCCGTAGAAAACTAACTCGCTGAAAAAACGCTAACCAGAAAAAATTATTCAAACCATTTAAACTCTGCCCTGGGAGTCAGAAGGTCTTCGTTTAGAAGAATTATGACGCCTCATGATGAAAGCCGAGTTCCTTCGGAAGTCACGAGGCCGATGTCCCTTCTGACAACCAGAGCAACCATTTATTTAGGTACATGGAATGCTCGTACAATATGGGAGACTGGGAGAGTTTTCCAAATTGCTGCAAACATAAAAAACACTAAGTTCAGCGAAGGGATCTCTTTGAAACAAATTTATTGTCAAACTACATTCGTATAGAAAATTATTTTAAGTATTAGTTTCGTGAGGACAAACGAACAAAAACTGAAGATGACGATGTAATAGAAAGGTTATAATACTAGATTATGCAATATTGATAATAATAATAGATAATATAGATAATAACAATAAAAGATGTGTACAAGTAAAAAGCCTTGTAAAACTAAGTTAGCAATGAATTATAATATTAATGGAGTAAGGTAATTAGACCATTTTTATTACGGTAATTTTTATAGTAATAAAGGGGTTAGATTAAATGTAGTGATATCAGAAACAATTATGAAAGAAATCACGGGGATATGAGAAACAATTAGGCAGTGAGGGGGATATTTTCAAATGTGAAATATTTATAATAAGTAAATTATTATATTTGTAATATCCCAATGAGTAGAAAAATTAAATTTTCCAACGTTTCGTGACTCAGTGTATGTCACTTCTTCAGAGAATAAATAATCAAATATTAATAATAGTTTAAGGCCATCGAAATTTATCAGAATGAATAAAGTAATCATGCATATACTAGATAAGGAAAGGTTCTGATGTAACTTGTTTATCCGTTTCATTCCTAGTACTGATATTATCAAGAAACGGTAAATACATGCATTTATTTTTCACAGGGAATTGGCTTTAAGTGTTTAAAGCACCCATTTTTAACCTGTAAGTTACACGTTCGACCCCATCTCCACCTCGATTTGACCAGCTGAGTTGTATCATTAGTTCCCATAATCACAGTTTTACGCAATGTCGTATACACAAACTCGTACTTAAGGGAATAAATAAGTTACATTGATTTGCCACGTTAATTATGTTCATACATGGACTGCGCTTTATCCCGATCTCCGGATCAATGTTTATAGCTGTTTATTTGACCTTAATATTTAAGTCTTGTTTTTTCCAACAAGATTGATTCTATTGTTATTTAGCATGATCATCAGTACTATTATTGAGTAATATGAGTTCTAATAAAACTTATATTTTTATTTGTAGCGTAATCGATTATCTACTACGGCGGACCAATTAGATGAACATGAAACTGCATTAGTTCGAGATTGTGCACGTCAATTAATTACTGCTAATATACATATACGTAATTTATCCGATGAGTTGGCTAAGAAGTCTGATGCTTTCATGAATCAACAATCTGAAATTACTCGCCTACTTACAAGAGGTTTAGATTTAGAGAATCGTGTTAAACAGGTAAATTATTATTATTATTATTATTATTATTATTATTATTATTGCTATTATTATTATTAATATGCTGAAGATTAACCTCAAATATTATTGATATTTCTTCTGGATTGAACACTAAATTTTATGACTGGTAGTCGACTGTTATGACTGCGTCATCACTGATATGTCTTCTTTTTGAACGCCAGATCCGGTTCCTAAACTCTGCTAATAACCCCGAAACACGACGACGACGTTATTCGAAAATACACTCATTTATATATTGATTCATGCACCCAATTTTGATTAATAATTAGGATAAAATCACATATGAAAAATACTTACAGTTATAACAAATCATATGCTTAGTTCATGTTAACTTAATACAAGAATATCATACATAATGAAATATCATATGAGAAAATAAAACATATACTATACTGAGTAATCATCACATTAAATTAAAACGGAAGTAGTGTTGAATAAAAATCATAATGAGTAAATCAATCGAATTTTGACTTTTTTTCTCGTCATATCAATTATTATTATTATTATTATTATTATTATTATTATTATTATTACTCGAGATTTTATTTTTATCATTAAACTGTAAAAGATTGATCAATAAAGGATATTTGTGAAACTGTAAAAATTGAATTTAATCAATTGTTAGATTTGTAAAAATAAGGTTTTTGACCCACCACCTTTGTAAAACGTTTACCTTTTCCTTGTAAATGGATTTGATTTTTTGGTCTCCAATATCTTCAATCAAGGTGATCTTGAGTGCTGTTAGAGGAATGAGGAGGATTGTCACTCCCTGGTTCCCCTCTCCGTGGGACGATACCGCTTCCTAAAGAGCCCGAAAAAGAAACTGGGTTGGAGGTAATCTTGATTACTTAGTCCTAACGCTCTTCAGTCGACTTGTTTCGTATGGCACGGCCCAAAATCAAGTCTTCCACCTAATATTAATTGATTAAATCATCAAGATATGAAAAATTGTCCAATAAATCAAGTTAACGGCTACTATCAGGTTAAAGTTTAACGGACCAAGTGGTCGTTGTTTTAAATCTTGCCAGAACTTTATCTTCGAACACCGATCATTATCCGTAATCCCAAAGAATTGTTTTATCAACTAACTCTTGCCTGCTACAGGTTGATTGCAAATACTGATATTTGGTGCACCTATGATTGGAATTCGGGCACACCGTTTTATCTGGAATCTATCAGCTGGATGTACCTGCTTTCCAGTGTTACTGTTCACACAGACCTAAATCCAGTCCTTTACACTTTACGTCATAGGTTACACTCCTAACCACATACCCAAATATAATAATTTTGACATAGCTCTGTTTTAAGTTAATCTGTACAAGAATGTTGATATTAATCAAATAACTATTGAAATTAGCATTTACTTGACAGTTCATTTTATTTAAGGTTAATCCATATTGTAGTTAGAATTACTGAATTTCAGTATTACACGAATGTACTGCCTTCTCGTGGCGGGGGTGTTGTTTACGAAAATGAGAGGACGTAAAGCGAATTTCCGGCGCTTTAACCGGACCCCAAATCAATGGTGCACATGGGCCCCAGTATCCTGAAGGATCAAATGGCGTATGAACCAATCGTTGGTCACCGGCTACCATGGGACTGCATCTCCTCACGATGCTCCACTGCCTTGTGGGTTAGACGTTCAGGTCAAAGGCTCGGGGTGTGGCCCCTTAAGAAAACCACCTGCTTCGGTTTGGGCACCCGGGCAGTATCACAGCCCTCACACAAATCAATTGAGATTCGTGTGGCGCATATGTACTTGGTGCCTCCTTGTACCTATACCTATGTGTTAAAATAAAATAATAATTACACGAATGCTTCCCAACGATACCAATCAGCTTCGCATCAGATGATTATCTATAGTAGATTACAAATTAATTATTTTTTGTAAAAGATAATGACAATAACTCTTATATTGTAATTTTTATTGGTTCATAAAGGTTTTAGTTCTCTATTTCGAGATAAACCATAGGTACGTCCTACTGATTCGAAACCTTGACAATTTATTCATGTAGGAGTTCTGTATATTCAGCATGTATTTACTTGATACTTAATCTCTTTCACCAAGCATCGTTATGTTGTATGATACAGTCATTTCCAAGCTTCGTAATATCCATCTGCCAAGTTCTGTGGAAAGTAATACTGTGCTTAAATTAAATATCACAGTTTATTCTACTTATAGTTTTATCTATGGACTTGATTATTATTATTATTATTATTATTATTATTATTATTATTATTATTATTATTATTATTATTATTATTGGTGATATGATTTTCTTCTTTATGCTCGTTTAATTCGTATTCTAATTGTTGAGAATTACATCTCTCCCTTTTTCTGTTTTACTATCTAATTTAGTTGACAGCAGAAAATGAAATGTTAATTGGTCGACTGAAAGAAACACAAATATCGCAATCATTACTGACAAGTGAATTAAAAAATTCACGTGATAAATATGATGAGTGCCTAACACTTTATAATGAAGCTAGGGTAATCACTTATTTATAATAATGATTCTAACCATGTTCAGACTGTTGGTGTTATTTATTTATTTTTATTTGATACTAAACACTGACGGTTAGGGTGGAGTACCGTAAAACTGCTTTGTTTATTTTTGTAAGAAAATATTAGTAGTATTTCCTTATTGCTTATTCCTATTTTTGGTCTATATAGCTCTTGTAACAAACATCTTTGGGGAAATATCTTTGATTGCTTCGATGTAGTAATGTAATACGACTACTGGTTATTTGACCATGTTACCGCTCATGGTACATAGACCGCTGATCAGGGATCACCAACCAAGTTTATTCTCGTCTCTTCTTTCCAGATATCACCGACTGATATTCATAGTCATGCTGTATGCTTTCAACTACCGGCGTCATTTGTTATTTGGTCTCTCTTGTCTTACCATGAGAACCTCAAGTTGGAGCCTGCTTTGAGATACGGTTCGATGGTTTCCGTAAATCATGACAGATCCACCTCCTGAGTCTTTCCCTGATTTCCTCCTAAGTTGGCATCTGGTTGGTTCTGTGCCACACTGGTTCATTGCTGATGGTATTTAATCTAGGCAGTTGACATAGATTGCCGATCACAGGTCTCTAAATAGTTATTTGTGAATACTTGTAATCTATTGGTGATGTTGGTGGGAGTTTTCGAGGTTTCAGCCCCATACAATGAACTGTTTTGACATTAGTGAAAACTCAGAATTTTTTGTCGAGTGACAGTTGTTTTGAGTCCATGATGTTCATCGGTTTTAGTAATGGATACCGTTGTCCTGTCAATTTGTACCTTCACATCTATACCAAATCCTGTTAGTTTGTCGATGATGGTGTTCAGGTTCGTGAATAATTCCATGTATTGCAGAGGAGAGCTTCAGTAGAAAGTGTGTATTGGTTGGTACTGGATTCTGTGCTTTTTGTGATTGTGCGTTTTGCCTTGGTGTTGAGCCCTATTTTTGTGGAAGTGATTGCTTCACTGACTGTCTTCGCCTGCATTTATTGCTGTGTATGTATGTGTTTTAATATCAGTGATTGGTTCTTATTTGTTCCTGACTAGCTTCTCTGGTTTCTTATTTTTCTCTCATCCTTTCTTGGCTGAGCCATATGGTTCCTCACATTTCTTTCTCTTACAGCTTTTCTTGCTATCATTGTACGTTGTCCCACACATTCTTGCTTATCAGCTCTACTGCTACTCTTCATTCTTTCGTTTGCTTTTGTATATTCCGTGGATGTTTTTAATTCCTCTGCTTTTGTCTGGCTGTTGTTCATTTATGTCTCCCTGTTTTCCGTTGTTGAATCTTTGTCAAGGTATATGTGGAGATCCCTTCCTTATGTTGGTGCCTTTTGGAGCCTAATATCTCTTGACACTTTGAACCTATTGCTTTTCTAATCCCTTTCTATTTGTTCTGTGTAGTCGTTTCCTCTCCTTCTAGTGGGTCTTTTAAGAGTTGGAACTTGTTGCTGAGATCTCTCATGAACCCACTGAGTTTGTTAGCTTTTCAAGGAAATGCTGTATTAAATTTCGTAGTTTCGGCTGTCTAATTATTCAATATTTTAGTCTCCGTTCTAATTTTGCTACTACGAAGTTGTATCAACTCTCTTTGTTTTTACGTCTTAAAGTGACCTCAATTTTTCATTCATGCTTATATGGTTGATCTGGTTCCCCGTAGTGTGTAACGGTGAAACTTATGTATCTTTTTGTATGCACGTATGAGGGGAAATCCTCCTACCTCCATGTTATTGAAAGCATATAGATCTGTCAATCTCTCATCATTCTCCTTCTTTCTCTTAGTCCATGTCGTTCTATGATGTCTTCACACCTGCTGTTGTCAATTCCAACCGTAGTGTTCAGGCTCTTCATCAGGATGGTCAGGTTTTTACCCTGGGGATTTTTCTAATATGTACTGTAGACCCCCATAAAGCTAATATCATCTTCGCCGCTTTCGTTGGTAGGTGCATAACAGTGGATGATATTCATTGTAATCCACTTTTATTATTTTTGGGGGCATTCTCGCCCCCCTGGAGAGCATCAATGCAACTCCTTGTGTATATGGGGCACTTATTTCATGAAAAAATTCAGCAACATTTCTCTTAAAGTTAGTTTTTTTCAGTACAGATTATATTCAATGGGCTGCACTCATTGAAAACATAGCCAGGCTATGTCTTCTCATTTCCACCGCTATTTAAATGACCCTCCCAGCCTCTCACAGTATTTGAAAAATCTGCGTATCTATATTTAACTTTACTCTGGTTGTCAGAGGGGACATCATCCTCGTGTCTTTCAAAGAACTTTGGCTTCTATCTTGAGCCTTTATAATTTCTTTTACGATGATCCGTTAACTCTTAGGTCCTTGTAATAATACTCAAATCATTCGACTAATTAATAGTGTTATTATTTTCGAATAAGTGTACTATTTTTTAAGGCGTAAGTTTTCACACAAAAGGTTTTCAAATTTGGTTATACGGTTGTAAGCAGTTTCTCCATAAAACGATATTATTATAAGAACAAAGGGTAGGATTTTTGTTGATTTTTTTCCATGAATACGTTTCCAAATGTTCGAGTAGTTAATTTTAATTTTCTTGGCATCATGGAATCGTATTGTGAACTTCTCGATCTTATATTCAGTTTACCTATACACTGAAAAGTATTTGCCTAATATAATTTCGTTCAGGGAGGCTTGTTTATTCATATATATTTTTGAAGATCTGAATCATACATACTACCTTTCATTATTGTACAGATCAGAATTCGATTTTCATTTAGCTCACTGTATCACTGAATATTGATCCGAACTTTCTGTCCAATGAATTTATTTCCTTTCTTACCTCTGATTGGTTTAGATAATAGGACGCGTAGTTTAAATCAGTGTTACCTACTGTTGTTGCTCAGTTAGTTGTCTAATTTCTTCACAGTAATTAATAATATATCTATTTAAGTAAGTGAATTTTGATACTTAAGAAGGTGTACTTCGATGAAACACTGGTGAAAGAAATGCAAATTAAAAGTACATGGAGAACCTGTTTTAAAAGAAAAATTTCGTTTTATCATATTTGTTCTGATTAAATTAGGCCAAAATTTATACATGACACGATTATTCCACATGTGAGGTATTGTTTAATCTTAATAAGCATTTTTTCGAGATTTTTGTTTATTGTTACATACAATGCTATTTTTAAAATGGTAATTTAATGTTCATTATTCAGCTGTCAATGCTAATATTGGTATGTTTACCATTGTTAAAAGAAATCTAGATTCATCGACACAAAGTGAGAGTATCGATGAGGAAACAAATGCTAGCAAAGAAGAGAAAGTTACAAAAACCCATTAAAATAGAATAGCTTTCAGTGTCTGGTACTATGTCAAGTCCACTTGGGTTATCCTAGCTTCTGTACAGACCTATTTATTCATTCTTTTTCAGCGATATTTTGACCTTATTTTAGTAATTATTCGCTTAATAACCCTGACTTTTTTCATATGAACGTATGTATGTGCATAGCTTGCTTACTCATCACATATCTGTAACTTATTTTGCCTGACTATCAATATCGATTCACTCTTGATCAAAACGAGTTGGCTCACTCGCCACCTCCAATCCGCTTCGCTTTTCCGTTTCCTGTTCTCAATATCTGTCTAGACAAAAGAATTTTTGAAATAAATTCCTCTAACGCAACCTTTATTTGGCTTCTTAATACCAGCTTCACATAAACGGGGTTAGCCCAAGTAATATACGGAATCAAACGAACGATTTCTGTTCATACGTTCATCCAAATCAGAGACAGATCAGTGAGCTACAAAAGCTATTCCTTGATGAATGAGTTTTTCCTATTTTTAGTATCTATTAGATGGGTGGTTCACTAGTTTCTTTATCGGAAATCTTGTTTGTTAATCACTATCTCAGACACATTGATCGTTTTATTATCTTTTAATCCTCTTAAAGTATAGTTTAATGGAGTTTGAGTGGTTTATCGATCGCGCTACAAACACATTGATATTTATAGGATTATTATTGCTTGTGTGGGCGAAAACATAACTGAAGACCATAAGCATATGCTTTTTTAAAATTTCAAACAAATTTTTCTAGTGATAAGCATTAACTTATGTTAAATGTATACTTAACTATATCACGTTTACTATCCTAACTTGGTTATAAATTATTTTTGGGAATTGAGACATAGGTCCTTTGTATATTTTCGTCATGATACACGAATTAATACTTTGAAATCTTCAGTGATATTATGCAGACGTATATACTTTTAAATTCTAAACACGAATGTTCAGCTTTCGTGGACTCACATTTTTACGGCGTATTTCATCATACAAATTTCATTGATCCCTTCTTTAGATCATAAGTGTATCATTTCAATCTTAGTGTTGTTTCTTTACAATACAATTTTCTTCCAGTCCTATCTAGCATTGAACGTCTACTTTTCTCGTTTTAGTCGGAAATTCGGGCCTTACGCAAACGTTCTCGTCGTGGTTATTATCGTCCTAACTCACTTATATCCACTAGTTCTGTAGTGAACACTGCAGTATTACCCTCACTACCACCTTCCTATTTAAGTGGAGCAGCTTTAACACCACAGTCAGATCCGGATCCTATGCAATACTGTCATCATTCGTCATTTTCTGCTCATCAGCTAGCTAGTGATGGCAGTACATCTTCTCTGGATATGTTGACCACACAAAATCCAAATTCAGATTATTTGGAAACTTCATTAGCGGCAGATTTGGTACATACAAGAATGAAAGAACATGTGAAAGATAATATGTATGTTTTTTGATTATTATCAAACTATAACAAACTATTATTATAGCTTTCAACTGTTATCCGACTATATAATTTAACAGTCTTTCTTGACCTATTGTTCAGATGAACTAATGAACTATGTAATGATTTTAAAACTAAAATACCGGTTGTTTGAATTATTCACGATGTTCTACAAAGTTTTTCGACCCAGCAACGCTATATAACCGTAGTTGAGAGATATACCACGCTCGTTGTTATGTGTTTTGCAGGAATAACTGATAGAAATGATAGCCTATAAATTTTTGTCATTTACCTTTAGAGGTTTGAAAATGATTCCGGTTCATAGTCATGCCAGGTTATTTAACTCGATGATTTACTCTGATCTGTCAGTTGTAACACCAATTATTGTAAAATCTATTATAGTGCTGATGTTCATCATTTGATTTTTCATGCAGTAAATCTGCTTCAATCAATTAGTCACAAATATTTCTAGTTACCACCCTGAATTTTGTGTTCCTAAAATGTAATTCAGTTCTGTTCGGGTTGCAAATACTTCATGCTTATGTTTTTCTACACTACGTTCTAGTTGTGGATAATCTTTGAAGACATTTTATTTAGAGTTATTCTATTCCTGTTTACATTGTCTGTTTAATGTGTAGTTAAATTCAATTTTCTCACTCCACTTTAGAAAGCATTTATTTCGAGCAATGGATCAAGTTCGTCATACGCGTACACTCAGTAATGGTCCTACTCCTACTCCTACTGCTACTACCATGATTAATTCTAATAATGACGATAACAGTAGCCATAATATTGTACTGATTGAATCAGGTCTGGAAGATACTGTTTCTAGCAGTGGTTTTGTTAGTGGATCAGGTAATTTTCTTTTTTTTAAAAAAACTATCTAATCACTTTATCTTTCTTTTCGTGGTGAAACTATAATTTATGGACGACCTTCGAGCAACGCTAAAATAACCTTGAAAATGTCAAGGAATAAATGAGGATTATAAAGCAGTGTGAGGAATTAGATGTAGGCTTTTCACAACGAACTGACATCAACTATAATACTGAAATAATATTTAGCCAAATGACTGGATGAATTTCGCGCTAAAATCCAAGTCCATAAATTATAGTCTTATCGTATTCGTTTTTGTTTTTATGATAAGTACATACGATATGGGCATGTGTTACCAAGATGTTCATGGTTTTGTTCCAATACAAGCAGTTGGCAGGTCTCCAGGACGTTTAGTTTAGTTCTTGTTAGTACTTTTAGTCTACGTTTGTTTACCTTATCCACACGTTTTTTTCTGAACTTCCCTTATATAATCTAACAACATTACTGTGTTATGGATCGTAAATAAGTATATTTTTTAATTGGGAAATAATCAAATTTGGAAATATGTAGGCTACTATGTGAAGAAGAACAACGTAAACTATCGGTCAGTAAACCTAATGCGTAAATACAATTACTTCATTGTTTGTTCCATTTTGTATGTATGATTCGTAAATTTTCACATTTATCATAAGAACTGATTAGTCGGAGCGTAATTGATGTTGCAAATATACTCTTCTATAGAGTTGTAGGATTAAAATTAAAAAAGATAGAAAAATAGATGGTTAATAAGTTTGTATTTACTTTCTCTTAAAATAAAAATTAATGATTTATCAGTCAGTCAGTCAATAACAACGTGGAACTTCGTACGTACGTACATCAGTTCGAGTTGCCATACCACATTAGCACAGAGATTCAGTTATTGATTCAAATCCATAGTGGTAGAGGTAGTGAGAGTATAAGTAGTGATAGGGAACATTAGGGTTTGATGATGTTATTTAAGGAGTATAATCCAGTGGAATAAATTGGGAAAGAAAATAAAGGACATGAAGAATTCAGAAGATTAGAGTTTGAGAGAACACAAAGAGTGGTTGCACCTGCGTCATTGCAAACGATTTTGAGCCATGTCATTCAAGATCTCTAACCATCGGTTGCTATCATCTCACGGACCCTAACCATGTAGTCTACACCTACCAACATGTCTCAGTGACTTCATGGATTTGTGCCATGTTTTGATCTGCCCGCTCCTAGCTTTCTTCCAACCTACTCCTACACCATAAAACATCGCACGTCGCCACAAATGACGCAAGTTGGAAAAAGCTAGTCGAGCCTTCTATATCCGTGCTGAAATTTCGTCACACACCGGACCACAAGGGCTGATGAGACTTCCAAGATAAGTGAAGCGGTTGACACACTCAACTACTTCACTCCCTATCACTAGTTCGGGTGTCGACGCAACCCAATCCTGAAGCAACATTTTGCATTTCGAGGGAGAAAATCGCATGCCGAACGTGCCTGCGTTGTTGCTTAGAGTGGTCAGCAGACTCTGCATTTTGTCAGGGTCTTCACCAAATAGAACTATGTCATCGGCATACTCTAAGTCAACAAGTGAATCTTTCGGTAGAAGTTCAACCCCTGGAAAGTCAGATGTGCAAAGTGTTAGTTCTAAAAGCACGTCAACGACAAAGTTAAACAAGAATGGAGAGAGTGGACAGCCCTGACGAACACCACTTGAGGCAATCAGTTCTGATGACAGTTCGCCATAAGCTCTCACACGACCAGTTGTGTTCGAGTAGAGAGCCCTTATAAGGTTGATGTACTTCTTTGGTACTCCTTTCAGTGACAAACACTGCCATAGAACCTCACGATCAACTGAGTCAAATGCCGTCTTAAGGTCGAGAAATACTACAATTGTGGGACGTCTGAATGTGTGTCTATGTTCTAGGACCTGACGTAATGTGAATATTTGATCAATACAACCACGTCCAGGTCGAAAACCAGCCTGGTTTTCTCTAGTCTGCTCTTCACGAGCTTTGGATAGACGTCGAAGTATTATTGAAGCTAATATTTTAGACACTATATTAATCAAACTGATTCCTCTGTGATTGCCACAAGAAGACTTTTGTCCTTTCTTATAGACTGGCACAATCAGTGATTGGGACCAGTCAGATGGGATTACGTCCAGTTTCCAGATTCTACCTAAGACCTCAGTCAATCTCGCTGCTAATACTGGACCACCATCCTTAAAAATCTCAGGGGTAAACCTGTCAGGGCCTGCTGCTCTCCCACGCTTCAGATTTCCTATAGCTTTTCCAACTTCGTAAAGAGTCGGAGGACTTACATTAACTTGCCAATCAGGTAGATTGGAGATCGTGGGAATCCGAAGTGTGGCTGAAGGCCAGTTGAACCGATCCCTAAAGTGTTCTGCCCATCGGTCCAATCTCCTGGATTGAGAATGTATAATATGTCCATCTTTTTCTGAGATAGTTTTGCTAACAGTCGGGTTCCTAATACCGGTTTCCTTAACAAGTCTGAACAGTTGTCTGCTATTACCTATTGCCATTGCCTTTCCCATCTCTCTTGCTTTCGCTACCCACCACTGTTCACGATCATCGCGTAGGCTTCTAGTCAGCTTACGCTTAAGCTGACTCCGCTCTTCTTCATGTTCAGAGCCAGATGGAATGAGTTTTCGAGCAACTATCAGTGCGGTAGATGCTGCTGAGATCCAGTGTTTCTCCCTAACCTTGTGGTTTACCGTACTTGCAGACATCACTGCTGTTTCTACAGCTTTCCGGATATCATTCCACACTGTCTCGGGGTAGGCATCACTTACATGGCTGTCTAACTGTTTTTCTAGTTGTTCTTGAAAGATACTCTTAGCTTGACTATCATTAAGTAGGACCCTACGGGGTTTCCTTGCAGCGTCTTTCCTACGTCCAGTAAGACGCGCTCACACTAGAGCATGATCTGAATCTAAGCATGTGCTCCAGAATGAGCGACAGTCTTCTATCGAGCCCCTCCATCGGTGGCTGATAGCGATGTGATCTATTTGGGTTCAGCGTTGGGACGAATTAGGGGGTCGCCATGCCAAAAGATGTTTTCCTTATGCTTAAAGTTGGTGTTTGCAAGAAACAGGCGATTATCTGAGCATAGCTGCAGACGGTTGCCATTATCTGTTCTTTGAGCCGCGACACCATAAGATTCACCCTGGCGTCTTTCCCTTTCGCTTAGTTTACCTAGTTGAGCATTAAAGTCACCAGCCACTATTACTACATCTAAACGCCTAGCTTTTCGGAGAAGGTCGGAAAGCTTTCTGTAAAACTCATCTTTTACATTATCTGAGCTGCAGTCAGTGGGAGAGTAGGCAGAAGCAACGATGAGTGTCCCTATCTTTCCGGATTCTTACTGTTCCGTTTAGTCGGACAGCGCACGAACGACTGTTTACTGAGATCCAGTCTAATAGAGCTAGTTCTGCTCTAGGACTCAAAGCTATACCTACGCCAGCGAGGCCACAACAAGCAGCATCGGGGCTTCCAGATACACGAAGCCTAAATCGAGTTGGTTCGTTACTTTGACATGGTGAGGTCAAATGAATGACACTACTCGGATCCTGTGTGCGCGTTTCGGAGACGCAGCACACATCGATGGCGCGAGATTCTGAAGTCCTGGCTAAGGAAGCCTGTTGTCCTATTTGGCACAGTGTTCGGACGTTGAAATTATTTATTTATTTATTTTAACACATAGATATTGGTACAAGGAGGTACCAAATACATATGCGCCACAAAATCTCATTGGATATGTTTGAGGGCTGTGATACTGCCCGGGTGCTCAAACCGAAGCAGGTGGTTTTCTTAGGGGACCACACCCGGAGCCTTCGACCTGAACGTCTGATCCACAAGGCAGTGGAGCATCGTAAGGAGATGCAGTCCCATGGTAGCCGGTGACCAACGATTGGTTCATACGCCATTTGTTCCTTCAGGATGCTGGAGCCCATGTGCACCATTGATTTGAGATCCGGTTAAAGCGCCGGAAATTCGCTTTTCGTCCTCTCATTTTCGTAAACAACACCCCCACCACGAGAAGTCAATGAGTAGGACTTCCCTGGCAGAGGCTATATACGCATGACCATGTGAGAGCATTTCGAGAGGGAGAGCGGACTCTCTGTACTCTCGGCCGTACCAGGGCATTTGGGGGCTCGGACGTTGAAAGCTACTACGTGTAGTTTAGAGCGTGGTTTCAGGAGACCAGGAATAACGTTCCGCGTACTCGAATCGTTTGCACTAGCGGTGCGAGGTGATAAAGGGACGTGAGAAGGGTTGGTCGTGGAGATAAGAGAGTTATTAGGAGGTGTAGGAAGGATTTGAATGTGACCAACTTGGTCTTGTGTGCTGTTATGGGTATGAGGGCTGATGTCACTTCCCGGCTGCCTACACCGTGGAAGGGTATTTCTTGAGGAACCTGAAAAGGAAACCAGATTAGTGTTGATCTGAACGACCTGGGAGCGTGATCGCAGAGCTTGAGGCACATCTGCTTGAGGCCGGTCGCACACGGCCTTTTTGTGGGAGGTTTTTAATGTGTTAGCTCCGTTCTTCAAAGGGTATTACCGCTGTAGACGAAAATCCGTGAGGTTTGACATTTTCAGGGTCAACCTTTTATAACCTCTTCCTTCCTTGTGAGAAGGTAGCATCGCTTCAGATGCTGGTTGTCTGAGGGAAACACTTTACTGCTGTCACACCTCTGTACAGTCAGCAGTACGACTTCTCCCTCAGACCTTGAGTCACTGCTTTTAATCTTACCGTTCTCCAATCGACCTGCCTGGCATGGTAGAACCTACAGGAACATATGTTCCAGCCAATATAGCTCGGTTGGGTCATCACTATAGGCAAGCCCGACCACCACGTCAAGGTAGCAGCTACGGTCGGGTAATGATTTATACTTTGAATAATATTCATAAAAAAATCCCGTTTTATGTAATTGTCTTTGGGATTATAATTTTTATGTACTTGAATCTTGAGAATTAAACTGACTTCGCAAGACACATGATCTAAAATGCTGGAGTATTGTGTTCACGGGCAAATTATGTACAATGTGATATACACAATAGCTTATCTACTAACGTATACTCTTGCAATATTTGACCAACCCAACTAAACCAAGGTCACGTAAACTTCATTTACCAAACAACAATGATTATAGCTCTTGCTTCTTTATATATTAAAAATGATCAACATTGTGTGCATATGTACGATACACTTTGATCAGCTGACAAATCAATTGTTCATAGTGTCTAATTCATGCTTTCATTTGATTTTCATATAATCTTGACACATCATGTAACTCACTAAATCCTATTTAATCTACATGTAATACTCCATAATGGCTGCACTGTTTTACGTCGAATCTTCATTACTCATTTTTTGAAATTCTAGATAGACGTGCAGGTGAATGATTCTTTATTGATTGTATCAGAAACTACTCTATCATTTTCTAAAATGCATTTATTTAAATATGTGAACTAAGTTAAATATTTTGACCCGACTACATTAGTACATATACTTTTTATGTTAAATTGTCTTTTTTTTTCAGAACCGTCAGATAATCCTCACAAACAAAGATTCGTTAAAAGTGAACAAACATCTAATTCTGGAAGTCCGTATCCAACTAGACCATTTATTCCAGATTTTATCAGTCCTATTCACTCCGCTGATGCTGAAAAAAGGTATATATATATATATATATATATATATATATATATATATATATATATATATATATATATATAATAGTATATGCTTGATTAAGCGTAACGTGGCGTCTAAATCCAACTAGCTATTTTCTATATGGGGATTACTTTTCGGCGTTGTTTTTTTTTAAGTAAGCTAAAAGTGGTCAAACGGAGGAATACTTTCTGTCTTCCACTTGCGTCAGTGAATAATTATCATTGAAAAAGCTTGATATTTATTTGTTGACTTAGATTTCTTGAATTCCTGTCTCGTATCAATCGATAAGTGATACGTATTACAGAAATGTTTAGTGAATTTATTGGTTGTCATATTCGTTATCGTAGTGTATGATACATCGTGTAGATGGATAAATAGGTGTATAGCCTCATCAGTCATTATATGACGACCTCAATGATCTCAGTATTTTACTTCACATTATCTTTGTCACTGTAAATGATCAAGATTATCGTTCTCTTTTTAATTATTTTGTTTAGAAATTTTCATCCAAATTTACCTTTGTCATTTTAATTAGTGATAATTCACTATTTCTGATCAGTGTAGGTCGTTCCCAATTTTTCTAACGTTCTCAATAGTAACTTTTGGTAGTACTATTTCTGCTGAGTCGTGATTAATACCAAATCGCACAATTTTGATTACAATTTCTTAATAGTAGGGGCTGTATATCTAAACCAATAAAAATAAAACCAAACCATATCCACTTGCCCTCCAATAACATCTTGCTAAGAATACCAACCAATTTTATTGTATTTCGTATGAAATGTTGTCAATTCATCAGCCACTTTATGTATTTACTTTGTATCTTTGCTAAATATACATATATTTTTCGCTCTCTCTCTATTTACCTTTTAGTAAATCTAATGTAGTGAATTATCGCTTTCATCAATATACAAATCCGAATTGCTTATTAGAGTCTGAAAAACGACATAGTTGGTTGGGTTGTGACGTAACTGCTAAATTATCTGACAAAGGATATTACTCAATTCCTGATAGTGGATTGAATTTTCAAAGCAGCTTTGACGACAGTCTACTTTCATGTGATCCAAATGTGGTCTGCACAAGTAAATCATATTGCAAGTAAGTTTCTAGGGACAATCGTGTTAAACATTATATCATCTTTCTCCATGTTAATTGAAATTAAATAATTATTGATTGGTATTACAGGAAACCGGACTCTCAAGTTATTTTTCGTCGGTCTATATATATGTACATATATCTGGGGGGAGGAATGGTTTCTGAACTGTTTGTAATTTTCTAACATATTCTTGTACCCTTCAGTTGTCATTTGGAAATTATGTAGATTAGTTTTTGGTCACACGGTGCTTACTATACATATTATTTGGGGTAGCTTGATAGATGTCATGATTATAGTAGCACATTAGTTTAAATTCAAATTCTTGTCTACAACACTAAAGAATACAGAATAATAAAAATTCCCCAATTACTAAATCTTTCCCCACTAATTTCAGGTTACTTTCTTTTACATCCATGGAAAACTGGTTTAGTAGTAAAGGCATATGACTCAAATAATAAGCCTGAAGTTCTATCCTCGCGGTGCTTATCTCGGTTTGGCCAGATGGTTTATATAAGTAGACACAACATCTTAAGTTCAACTAGAGGCTTGGTACACGTATCTGTTGGTTAGGTTATATATTTATCTACATTCAGTTATCATTTATAACAACAATAGTTCAAGTGTTTACCATTGTATGGAATATATGTTCTTCTTCTTCTTCTTCTTCTTCTTCTTCTTCTTCTTCTTATTATTATTATTATTATTATTATTATTATTATTATTATTATTATTATTTAGACTGCCTCAACGTTTGAAGCTGATTAAACCATTAGATGGTTCTAATGTTCTTCAACATTGGCAGCATTTAGCTACTCCTAGTTTTACCCGGGCACTTTTTGAAGCCCCACTACCTGGAGTTCAAAGTCGCGCTGGAGTATCAGATTCAACCAACACAAACTGTTCGACAGTGGCTAACACTACCGACTCTCGACAACGTCCTGTTTCAGTCGGATCATCACCTTGTATTTCAAACAGTTCTGAAATTCCACACAAATGCAGTGTTTTAACTGCTCATTCGCCTCCCGATTTACCACAAGGTAATTCTCCCTCTACTTTATAATAAATAACAATAATTATTATTATTATTGTAAAATATCTAAGCACTATCTATGAAAAAACGTTGTTTCACACTAATAATAACTTATCCATAGAATATGTAACCTGAATAAAAATGAATCTTACCTTGTGTTATACATGTAAGCAGTTGAACGAAGTACAATCTAAATTTAACATTTTTAAACAAAATCTTTTGTGCGACCGCTTGTATATTTTTTATAAGAAATACAATTATAATTTGTTGTAGCTCAATGCTAGTTACAAATCTAGTCATTTTTATGTGTGCACATGCGCCCACATGATTTGAAAACATTCTCTGCAAATAGACTATTCTTAATTGACATATAATAATTTCTAAGAGTTGATAGTTGAATATGTAGACTGTTAAAGGTACATTAATATCATCAGCATCAAGACATTGTTATTGTCTTTCCTAATGAGAAAACAGTTTTTTTACGGATCATATGTACATAAATTGTTCTTGAATATTGAAGTGAAGAACACAGTTGAAGTGGTTCATTGTTTTTATCTATATGTTTTTGATTTTCTGATCGATTCAACATTATCGTGTGTTTTTTCTTGAACATTTCATGCATATACAACAGGTCAACCAAATATAAGATTAGTTCAAGAATCGTTAGAGAAGTGTACTAATTTAAAGTAAGTTAATTGACTTTCTTCATTGCTATATCTGTAAAATAAATAAACCAATATGTGTTCTATTCAATCAAATTTATGTATACATTAACACATCTAGAAATTACTGATTAGAGAATGTAGTGTTATATGGTATACATTGATATTATTGAATTATCTGGTATATGTGATAATTATGTGTTGGATGCTACTTATGTTGACAGATATAAATAGTATGTAACACCAATCAGAGATGGAATGCCTGTCAAAAGAGGATTGCGAAGATTGAACTGAAGAAAACAGAAAGGGATGTACTACAATTTAGAAAAGTTTTGTTTGTAATTGATAGTAGTAATAGTAGTAGTTATTATTGTTATGTACAGACGCTCATTGTATATTCGAAGTTTTGTTATAATCTACAAAAGTATAGAAGTACTTGAATGAATTGTATACTCTTGGGACATGAAAGCAATAGAAATTGACAATAGGTCAACTACAAATCATATTCAAGTTTAGTTCTTTTAAGTACACGTTATTGATAAGTTACTATAGTTGTACGCTTCTCTATATAATCTTTTTTTCCATACAACCTTAAAGAAACGCTGAAATTAATATTAAGTTTGTTGTTATTTGGTGTTATATCATTCTGCTTGAAATCTTTTGTACACTATACTAGCTGTTGTTGATAGATATATTAGAACTGCGTCAAATTACTTTATAGAACATTAATCTACTATTTCTTAAGTTTTTAAAAATCATTTTATGAATCACACAATCAACCGTGAATCATAAGCTGACAGAATTACACGTTATATCGATCTACTTTAGTTCAGTAAGATTAAAACAATCATATGCATAATCATGATAGGCCTCAGTGTATACTAAATAATCTTGTAGGTATGAATTACTCAAGTTAATTGTTTAATTTTCTACGACAATTTCGGACAATGTCAATCAAATGTTACCGCGTAACAATGAATAAACTTATTAAGAATTGCTATTCAATACACTTGCTATCTTAATAACTATCATTTGTTCCTGATGGTATCACATGCGTTTTATGTACACTAGACACTCAAGAAATAGATCGATATCTTGTTCATGATTCATGTATTATTTGATTTCTATCATAAACCTTTTACAAACTTTCACTAGGTTTTAACTATATCTAAACATGTAAAACAACTAAGTGTATTTTCTGCATGCTTATTTTTATGGTTAGGATTCCTGACTGAATTTGCTCTACTATTTATCGCGTATCCATAACTTTGAAATACTTACAAATGACTGATCACTGAATAGTGATCAATATCGTGTTTGTCTAACTTTTCCTAGTGCTGATCGAATCCTGTTGAACAAGTTGCAAAGAAGCCAGAAGTCTAAATGATTTAACATTATTTAATCGGCAGGAAATCATGAATTTAGGTTGTTTGCTAGTTTGAAGAGTACCAACTATCATAAAATCTATTTCAAATACACTTTCCTGGAGACTACCTTCAATCATCTAATGTGAAATATTTAAATAGCAATTCTTTAACCTTTTTATTTTAAATACTGTTGTTATTTATATATCCAACTAAACAGTAGGAAATATTCACTTAGTTGTACATTCTTTTCTTTAATTGTTTTTTCAAAACTAGCTGTATTGATCAACCAATAAAAATCTTATAGTAGGTTGTTTCATTTAATTCTACCGTTAAACAATAATGATAATAACAATAATATTAATCGATGCATTTAATTTATTGTTTTAAAAAGAGCATATCACATAGAATTACTATCTTTCCCATTCAAATTTGTTGGTTTACTGTATGATTTAGTATAATATTCTTATTTGTTTGTTCATTTAGCTGTTGTGCATCATTTATGTTTATATGGTATTTATACGAACTAATGATACCTTGGTACTTGATTCCCCGCTTATTACGAATTCCAAACACAGCACGTTCATTTGTGCTCATCTAGTTCTAACTGGCTTAATTTACACTATTTTGGGGAGTCTTAGTTAGTACATTAATTATCATAATTTATCGCATACAAATAGGTGTTTTAGTTCAACTCAGTAGATATATGTTAATATAACTATTGTACTACTGATTGTGAATTACTTTTTTTTATTGATGTACCTAAAATTATAGAAAGTTAGGCGTACCATTGTTTATTTTTATTTGTTTGGTTTTTATAGGAAAAACGTCGGTGTATGTGTTTATATAGAGTAGTAGATTGCATTGAATTACTGCTTCTATTTAGTCTACTATTTTTTCCTGTAATTGGTTACACATATAGTTGTGTTGCATTCAACTGTTTCAGTAAGATTATTTAAAGTTGTAACATTTTAAAACTTAGATAAGTATTCGTGAATGTGACCATGTGATCAATGAACTTTTCTTAATACGACATTATAATATAAGGTTATTTAATTAGTAGAATATTATATAATATACCTACAAAGCAATTATTGAATTTATTATTATCAGTTTAATATTTTAATTATTAATTGACCAGATAACTAGATAGACTGACATAAGACGCGCGATGATGGCTGATTTAGGAGGTTAGAATAAAGGTTAAGAACAGCCAAACTAAAACATCGGACCAGTCCACGAGGAGAATGACTGTTAGATTGAGTCGTGTAGGTAAGCGGAGATTATCTGATTGGGGTCCTCGTGGTTCTCAAGACTAATGGTCAGAGACTTGAAATGATATCGCTCAAAATCATTCGTAGTGGTGTAAGTACATTCACACCTCTAAATTCTTCATGATTTATTATTATTACAGTAGTTTATATTTCTTCAAATTGTATTTTCGATACCTAATCCTTTTTATTACCAATAATACCGTTACTACCACTATTATTCTGAGATATACCCTAACAATTTAATCTTACTGTGCTCACGGGGTGTGGCAAATTGAACTGATGTACACATGTAGCAAATTCTACGTTGCGTCCGACTAACTCACATAAGAAGTTGTGAATTAAAAAGAGATACATCACACTAATTGCAAGAATATTGTAAATAAAAAATTAAATAAAGATATTTATCATCTATGGGTTGTGACATCCTCTGGAGAATTATTCAGAATAAAGGGATTCTGAACAAATGTTTCACAATCTATTTTTGAACTATTCAATAAAGTGGACACTCATAATATCATATTCAAGATTATGAATTTAAGGTCTTCCTGTTTCATGATAAGTGCGATATAAGAACGAAAGAAGTACCAGCTATTCAGTGTCGCTTGATTTTCAATGAATCTTCACCTACTACAACTCTCTTCAAATTGCAAACTAACTAATCACTCAAATAAGTTATACTGTTCAATAAGTTTATGCATCAAAGATTATTGTGCCGTATTTCACGTGGTTTTACTTTAATAATAATAAAACAGTTTTAGTTGTAGTTCGTACATCTAGTCCATTACTACTTAGTGTTTATCATATAATTGAACTGAACTAGATCAAGTATTAGGATAATAGTAATTATAATTCATCAAAAATAATACACTAATGTCATTAACGAGGGGATTGTAGCATTTTATTATAAGATGTAAATAGTACATAAGTAATTCTGGTGAAAATAGTCTTGATATATGATTGCTTTCTCATGTCATCAATTCGAAGACATATTTTTAACTCGATATCTATAGTTTCTTCTATTATCTTGTACAAAGAGAACGAAAAAAGTATTTGAGTAGAGTAAAATTATTCATTTGGTTTTTTTAGGTTCTTTTCATCTGCTTACAGTTTATAATATTTAAAAGTCGAAATTGCAAATGTTACCGATGTATCTTAAACTATTTACATGAAATTTTTTTCAACTCTCTCTCTTTATTGACTACATGATCATAATAAGTTGAGGAAAATTCGGTGAATTGAGATGAATTCATGTCATTCCGCTCAAATCTCTTTTCTTGCCTTCTGTTTCTAGCGTTAAGGATTTCTTATTATTTAACTAGACACCAATTCTCAAGAGTTTACAATTTAGTCATTGAGATGCAGCTCATTGGTTTGCATGTTCGGTTTGCCCTACGCCTGCTTTCGTTCAGAGAGCTGGTTGGTATCACCAGTTCACTTGTAAAACTTATCACAATAAAATTGGAGCACACTTATCTGGACTTAGTTCGTTGGGTTTGCATAATGATTAAACATGTTAACATGAACAAAATGGGGCTATGTTCACCGACTAAATGAATTTATGTTGTGCAACTGAGCGCTTTTTTTCAAACTACGTTATTCACTCTAACCTAAACATATGTGTTAAATAAACCATTAAGAAACAGGATATATTGTGAAAACCATATCTTGGTGTATTTAGTCAAAAGAGTTAACTGATACACCACCAATTAACCCGAACTGTTGCCAATTTTATTTACTGTGATCATATTACAAATTCCAGTTTAATTTTACTCTGAAATCTGAAGATAATCAGTGGAATAAATACACTTGAATTGAATTAACCATTTAATAACTAGAAAGTTTAATACCTCTGATTTTTTTACTCCTTCGGTGATTTTATCTATGGTGTACGTTATGAATATGTTAGTTTTGTAACTTTTCGTTTGGTTTGTTAAATGTTGGATTCATAATACCCATGAATATTCAGTTTCAATGCTAATACTTTGGTGTTTCTTCAGATGTACATGTTCCTCATAAAAACTTATAAAGCTATTTGAAAATAGAATATAATCCATGATAATTATTTACAAAAAATCTAGTTCTTGGTTAAGAATATCAGAAGTCTTGTCTTTTTAGGAGAATCATTGTGGTTGGAGTACAGCCATTTATTTGTCTGGTTTTTTTTCTTAGTGAACTATCTGTGATATTCTTGTCTATGGCTACTGTCGGCACGATTAAACGTTAAATCAGGACTAACAAACTATATGAAAGCATTCGTTTCTTCATTTAATATCGGATATTTTTCAGTAGGCTGAAGATGCCACAGGTATTCGGAGTTTGACAACGCTTTAACCAGTAACACCTAATATGAAGCGTACCCACCAAGTGAAATCAAAAGACAGAAGCAAGGAGATCGAAGATATATTTGATAGGCTATCAATATATCGAGGATCGTCTGAACTAATCTGGCTAGCGATTGCAGTAGATGTTGAGCACGGCGTTCAAACATGTGATCTGGTGCGGATGCATGACCGAGCGCCTTCAGCTAGATGAGTCCATAAAAACTAATGTGGTCAGCATCCAATGTCGAAAACATACAGAGCTATTTATTTTGGGGAATTATTTACCGCTACAGATCACTCCCCCCCTAGTGGGGTAATGATGACCCTAATACGTTGCCAGCCAGAAGTTTAAACCCAACGAGTATGTCGTTGGTAAACACTCTTCTGATAGCTTGCTAGGTTTAGCAGCGTCTGGTCGTCTTTCCTTACTATAAGAGACCACTAAGTACAATATAGTAAAAAAAAGAAAAAGTACGAAGAAAATTTCGGTTCCTCGTAAACTTCATTGTTCTTTTCCAACCGTCCTGAAAAAGAAAAAAATATGTCAGTGCATGTCGAAATACACTCGTACGCGCGTAAAAACACAAAGCGGGCGAAAACATGGAAAATAAACTGATGCTCACGTAATAGCGTAAAGAAAAGGATATTTATACTATGGTTTTTTTTTGTTTTTTTGAAATGAAAATAAAAATATATGAGCATATTCAATTCGGTTTTTTAAATTATACATAGTACAAGGGAAAATCGAGACGATATGAAGTGTCAACTAGTAACTTACACGCAATAATCGTTCAAATGTTCTGGAAATCTTTCTCTTCTTCCAGAACGAGTTGTTTTGAGTTCATTTTCTGATACCGCGGAAGTATCATCGTGTGCGTTGATTGTCGATTGAGGTATTATAAATGCAGGAGTCGTGTCGTGCGATTGTACTGAAAGAAAGTTGACGTGAATAGGATCGATGTTGACGCTATCGTTTGTTCCGTTCTTATCGATTATATAGTAGTTGGGTTCGCGTTGAAGAACTTTGAAAGGTCCTTCGTATGCCGATCCTAAAGGTCGTCGATGCGAGTCTCGACGTACGAAGACGTGTGTACTATATCGTAAGGCAGGTTGAACGAAAACATCAGTTGATTGTGGTCGAGTGGAAACAGGTTCAACTGAACGCATTGCGTTTTTAAGCCTGTTCGTGTAGGAGGAATGTAAAACAATCAATTACTAATTTATTTCTTTTAAAACTCCTTGATCATCTGATATCCGTTATCAGTTAGAACTACTGTTTCTTAGGAATAAACCATCTACTCCCTAAAATCCCCAATCATGGTCCTATTAATAAACTGATTTTAGGTATGTTTTCTAAAAAAAGTATTGTTTTACTATATTTTTTAGCATTGTGTGCAACTTAAGTTTCTTTTTTGCCATTGTTCTTATGTTTTGCAGCCGATTTGGATTCAATTCATCAACATGTTTGCTGAATAATCAACTAAGAACAAGATCGTTAGATCATTTAGTAATAGGATCCTCATCCTTATCGTACAGTGATAAAAATAGTAACAATGATTATAAATCTATCCAGTTTAATCAAGCGTTTGATCATGTGAAAAGTGACGAATCTGCATCATCATATCTTACTTCATTTTCCCTAACTTCATTAGTGTCTGCTATATTGCCGTTCACTACTGCTGTTCTCCCTTCATCAGTATCATCATCTGATCCAAAAGGTGTCACAATGAACAATAAATTAACAAAAGCAAATACACGACTCAGTGAATCAACACATTTACGACCGAAATGTCCATCATCATCAACAGCGGCGACTGGTCTACAAGGTTTACTTGATGTAAATAAAGAAGACGCTGATTCGTCAAAATCATTATTACATAGAACGTCAACATCAAAATCAATTGATCGTAGTGCATTATCTCCCAGTAGCAATGTACCGAATCCAATTGCTCTTCCAAATCCTCAACCACCAACATTAATTTCTCCTAGCGTTAATCGTACTGCTATTTCACATTCACGTCCTGTACGTACTAGTAACTTGACAGAAATCACTGAAGAGTCTGGTTCACCACCGAAAACGGAAAACGGTCAGAAATCATCGATATCTTCGGAAAATCAAAAACAACCACAATCTGATGGAGTAGTAGTCTCAGAAAGATCGAAAAATTCAGAATAGTAGATTCATTTATTAATGGAGTTGTTGATTAGTTGTATTATTGTCTCATATATATTAAACATTTAGAACGAATTATTTAATATTATATCATCTGTGTATCAGTTCCATATGAAAATTTTAGTCTTTCATTATATATATATTGTACTTGTGTTTTCCCATCATGTATTTTTACTGCAGTGATCTTTACCAATCACACATAGAAACATACACATTACGTTACAAAAATTACATTTGTATAAAACAGAACACTTCTAAGAGAGAGAGAGAGGTTAAAAAGTCTGATTATTTATCATTTATTTAACGTTGTCTCTTCCATTTTTCCTCATGTTTTCGTTTTCACTTTAACTTTTATATTTTTATTTTGTTCAGTCTAATTAATGTTGAAAGTATGTTTCGTTCAGTTGATAATCTTTCATTTTCATAATTCACAGTTTTCTTCAATAGATTATTGCCTGCATTTGAACTATCGTTGTTTGGGTTATTTTCATTCTTTATTGTTTTCTGTTTTTGATATTATAATATTTGTTATCTTTTATCATTTAAGATTGATAATCATTCTAGTGTAATAGTGTTATAACAAAGCATGTGAAGTAATCATCATCTATCACACTGGAAAACAAACACTTCATAAGAATAAAGTTGAATTTTGTGGTCAAAAAACATTACGTTCTACTAGTACTACTAGTCTGTTAAATTAGTGTTATTTTTGTTTTATATAAAAATTGTCATCGCGACTTGTTGCTTTGTTGAAATTCGTCTGATTCCTCAGACATTTGTTGTGTGCCTGTTTATTTTACATTTTTTTTCCTGTGGCCCAGTGACATTATTTTAGCCCCTCTTTTTATGGAAATAAAATAAATCAATAAAATTAAGTGATAATTGTTAATTCCATTTTGTTATCGGAACAGTAGTTACACAAGTGATTTGATGTGAATTTGTAATTCAACTATTATTATCTTTTTACAAAGTTATTAGATGTTGCTTACGTATTGTAGTACGAAAATATGAGGACCATACGCTGAATACTTCATTTGAAAATTTTCATCATTTGTCTTGCACATTCTGTGTGGTTCTTCCGATGCACAATTTTTTATAATTCCGTCTCTGTTTTCCCTTCGACTTGGTATTCCTAGTCCTCTACCACCAGGATTTCCACTTGCGATTAATGTTACATACTACTTATATCTGTCGGCATAAGTAGCATACACATAGTTACTAAAGAAATCTGTATGCAAAGATTAATTCAAGTGGCAAACTAAAAACTAGTTCAGACACGATTGTCAAATTTTTTTACAGTAGTTTTGTTTATTCACTTTGACTTGAATGTATTTTGTCTAGTTTCGGCATTGTATTAATGATTCTTTACACCTTGTTGTTGAACTGACACGTATGTGAAATATGTCATTTGACTAAGCTTGAAAACTGTTTCTTATTATATCTACCTTCTATGCTATTGAGCTTTTAATTATGTCGAATGAATCTATGTAATTCACATAACACATCGGAGTGTTCATATCCCAACCTAGACTAATCGAATTTTGGTCAGAAATATCAACACCAGGATAATCCAAACTGCGTAAAATAAAATTATATGATTGATGCTACCATTATTTCGGTTCATTTACCTTTCATCTTAGTTTCATGTCACCGTGCTTACATAGTATGGCTTATTAGAGCTATAAATATTTGTTCCAGGCTTTTTGTTCATTGTAACTTACTGGGTTAGATTGACAACCCAATAACTGAGTTAACTATTGAGAAAACTGTAATATACACAAAAAGAGTAATATATTTCTAAAAGAGGAAAAAGGTAGATAAATGAAGTTTTGCGGGTAAAATGAAGTAAAAAAATTCGAATATCATGAGACGTTTTAGTTGTAAGTTCACAACGTAGCAAATAATTGAACTCTGATAATATCCAGGTCATTTGTAAGAGTTTAACCTAATCAATTATAACTTAAATTACAAACAATGGTTAGAAGTCATTAACTACCGCGATATATGCGTTCTTATAATATCCTAACATAATTTTGTAAAATTTAAAATTCTTATTTTTCATATAAACTTAAATTATGTATTACTTCAATATATTGTGTTAATTCTATCCATTGAGAATGGGACATGTTGATTCTATTGATTTAGTTTTGGAAAAGACAAACGCTTTAAAAATTAAACGGTTCAAACCATATCATCCTTTAATTTGAATGAATGTGTATATGCTCGGCTACACGGATATTTTCAATGTTGGTCATTCTCTTCACTGTTATACGATATTCTCAAACTTTAAATCTCTCAGACTTATCAGTCCACTCTCATTGTTAGTTGATTTGAGGATTTTCAATTGATCTCACAATGGTTATCGAAACCTTCAATAAAACTGAATGAGTCCAAAATAACACCGGTCTTTACTTCGAAGAAAACTGTCAATTGTCCTCCATGCACGATTTTGCAGTTTAATCCATCATCGGAATTCTGTATGATATTGACTATCTTCTGAGGCACGCCGTAGTGTCGAAGAAGCTTCCATAGTGTTGTTCTGCCCACGCTGTCAAATGCTTTTTCGTAGTCAATGAAGTTGATGTAGAGCGATGAATTCCATTCAATTGATTGTTCCATAATGATCCGTAGTGCTGCGATTTGGTCTGTACACGATCCATCCTTACGGAATCCTGCCTGTTGGTCTCGAAGTTTGGCGTCTACGGAGTCCTTCATCCTGTTTAAAAATACCTTGCTGAAGACTTTTCTTGGTATTGAGAGAAAAGTGATGCCCCTGTAGTTATCACAGTTGCTGGGTGATTGTTTAATACAGTAAATTGAATGAACTGGTCGAAATGTTTATTCATCAAGGATCTACATGTCAGTGGTACTTGATGATTAAAATATGCTGGATCAGCAAATATTTAAATGTGAATAATTGCACTCTAGTAGCAAACTACATCCGAATTCAGATCAATAAGTTCATTCCTATATTGACAAATTACCATTAAAGTTTTGAATTACAAGTTAGAAATATTTAAACTATGAAAATAAACTTATTATCTATCATTTGTAAAACTCACATAGCATTAATACTTGAATCCCTTAATAAAGTTGAACAGTACTAGTCAGTGTGTGGTTCATAATAATATATTAATTCTGTTTTTCAATTTTAATTTCATTTCCTACCAATTTAGTTCTTTGTATATTGATTTATAGTACTTACTAATTTTCAGTAGCTTGTATTATTATTATCCACTTCTGAGCATGTAATTTTATTATCTATGCAACTTGCGTAATTTGTGCACGATAGAAATATATTTTGGCATTGTCAATTGCTAGTACTGATATGAAATAGATTCGTTCTGTCTTAAAATCTAGTAGATGTCTATTATATATTATTGTATATTATCGTCAGAAGTAAACCCCTTGAAGCGTTACTAACATTTGGATTCCTTATGGTTTGAGGTTGGAATTCTGATTGATTTCGTCCTTTTTTTATCTGACAGCACTGTTGGCCGACAAATCTCATGTTTTAATGTCGAAATCTTGCTCGTTACTCAATCGTCTAGTCAGAATCCTCAGAAATATTCTATGAACACAATTTAAAAGCAATTATGTTTTTTTAATACATACATTTTTTGAAAAATCTAATGCAATTAGTTCCATCTATGAGTTTGAATAACGTAGGAAAAACAGTTAATGCAGAATAACATAAATTCATTTTTATTTCGTAGTTTTTCATTCTTTGTTCACAACAGAATTAATATTGGAATATCATATGTATGTATAGCGATGATCCTTGCCGTTTAGATTTTTCAGTCTGCATTTATTGCTGTGTATGCGACAACAGGGTAAATCTACCTGTAGAGTTCGAAGCATCTTGATGTATCGAATGCTTTCATTGTATTTATGTTTTTTCTGAAATGAATAGTTTTCCACAGTCCATTTAAGAAAGGAACAAAGACAAATATAAGAGTAGGGAGCCTTATCTAGGACTAGTGCTCACTGGGAATGGATTTGTAAGCTGGCTTCTATACGGGACTGTTCAATTCAGTCTCCTTTTTGAGTTCCGTGTGATGGTGACGATCTTCTCAGGTACTTGATAGTGTGATAGAAGATTTCTCAAGTTTTTCTTATTTACAGTATCGAACATGTTCACATAATCATTGGAATTTATGTATGACAATGAGTTGTATTCAATCGATTAATGAACAATGATGTGCAGTGTCTCGATTCGATCTAGCATTACAGAAGCCAGCTTATTGATCTCAACGTTGTTTTTCTGCTTCACGTACGATTTAGTTCAGCAGTACTGTTGAACATTTGGCATGGTAATGGTAGTAGTGTGATTCTTGTGTAGTTCTCACATTTAGGATGATCTCCTTTCAGTGGTATCTTGATCAGGTATCCCTCTTTCCATTCTGTTTGTGCTTGTTCTTCCTGACGAATCCATACCTGAATTCAGTGCCTGAGCTTGTATGTTGTTTGTTTCTGCTGCTTCCTACTCATAATTCATCTGGTAACCTTGTTAATCTCTTCGATTGTTTGTGTGGCAATATTTGTAGGGTAGTCTCTGTGCATTGTCTCGATGTCCGGTGCGCTCAGTGGCCTTGGTCTATTTAGGAGTTCGGAAAAGTTCTCTACTAACTTCTCGCTATAATGTTGACCATCAGTGATTGGTTTGTCTTCTTTGTACGTGAGTGATCGCTCTGATTTTTTATATTTACATACTAGCTTTTCATAAGTAGCACATAGTTCTTTTACATTTCCTTCTCGTATAGCTTTTACAGATGTAATTGTCGGGTCTTCTACATATTTTCACATACCAGCTCTAATTTTCTTCTTCAATCGTTTATTTGTTTCTGTATGTTTGGCCTTTCCCCTGGATTTCTTTGCACTTGTTCTGTTGTTGTTGAGTTATTGCTGCTCTAATCCCTTTCCAGTTGTTGTCCATAGTTGTTTCCTCTTTTTTTCTAGTAGAACTCCTGAGATTTGGAACTTGTTACTCAGATCTTTCTTGAACTAACTGAGGTTGTCACCATTTCGACCATGTGATAGTGATCTAAAGTTATATCGATTCTTCTCTTTGTTTTTACATTTTTAATGGACCTTTCGAATTATAACTGGTCGGTGCTCAGCACTGGTTGACAGTCATTTTAATCCTTTGCTTCCTCGTATTGAAGAATGATTTGGTGTTCGTGAAGTCATGAACTTCCCATCTTACAAGCAATTCCTGTTCTTCTTTATGTGGCATCAATCCAACTCCTTTTGTTTAGAGCATTTTATTCTTCATAACCAAGGCACTCTTTTCTGTCCAGGTTGTATCTAAATTATTTCAGTTATGGCAAATAGAGTCAGGTTGCATCTACTCATTTTTGCAGCTATCCAAACGACTTTCCCGTTTTGTCACACTGCTCGGACATTCTATTCCACCATGTTAATCTTTGCTGTGGTTGCTAGTAGGGGCATCGGTTTCGTGGCTCCTAGGAACTCTCAGTTTTCCTCTTTTAATTATCAAGGTTTTTTAAAAAATATTTTCTTTCTCATGTTGAAACATTACTTGGCTTTTGCTAAATTTTTAAAATAATGACGAGTTTTAAAAAAAATCTCAAAGCATGATGAATATTCTCATGAATATAGTGAATTCTCTGGATACCATATTATTCAAGTGATTATAAATTTTATTTGATAATATCTTATTTGTGCTTATCTTCCAAGTTTTTGCAGGAAGAAATCTTGTGTGCGTTTGTAAACAGTTGAAAGAGATATAACTGACAATCGTATCAACATTCAGTGAGCGTTTTACAATAGGATACCAGTTGATAAGCTGTATTTTACTTCCGAAATACCAAGAGATATCAACTTGTCCAAGCCAATCAGGAAAGAGTAAAGATTCATAAATGATTTTTAATGTTAGAACATAGATGTAAGATATGGATTTCAGGATTCTTGGATTATAACTGACGTTAATTTGTGATTAAAATCCGAACCCCAACCCTTAATCTCATTCGTAACCCACATGAAGCAGTTTACAGGTTCGACATTGTCTTGGATTTACAGTAAAACTAGAGTATTATCTCTTCGTTTTATCATTGATAGTACTGTCATTTTGCTTTCTTGTTTGATTTATTGAGAATATTTTGACTGTTAGGAACTTTCCAACTGTGCATTTCATATCATTTGTTCATATACTTCTTCATTTTGCAATCACACCATTGTGACTAATTAAAGCATTAAAATGAAGTCAGACTAAATTATTTGAAGACGCAGTTAGTATTCAGAAATGTCTGAATAACATGACAGCTCTGAAGTTGATCTAAACTACCTGGTTCTGTATGAGAGCTGTACAACATATTGTATTAGCATAAACGACTTGCATTAGTAATCTGACTGTAATATTTTGATAGTTCGATATCAGAATAATTGCTCATACTGCTAAGCTATTCAGCTTTATTGACATGAATGAGTCAAGGGAAATCTAATAACGTTTTTATGAATTGGCAACATGGGTAATATGTAAGCCCTCTGTCCAATGTTTAAATGGTTAATGGCCAAGAAAAATGTTGATATATAAAAATATTGAAGCAAAAGAGTCATTCAGATAGCTAATGCAAAGCTAAAACATTAGAAAAAATAAAATTAAGTTTCACCGTTTGTAATTTAATAGCATAAGTATTTACCTCCACAACATTTATGCTTTTTATTAGGGTAGAAATCTGTTGTTAGCATATATGCACATTATATTGACAAAATTCACTAACTATCGTCTATCACACATACTCATATAACAAGTCTTTGTGGCTATAACTTCTTCATGTGTACTGATGCCTTGAAAGTCAAAATGACTTGATCGATATTGTAAAGCAAGATGAGATCATATTAATTAGCCTCATTAGCTCCCATAACAATTAAAATAAAAAGGAACGGATATATATACTAACTAATCTTAATATAACTGAGGTAAAATATGTGTTTTTATTTAGCTAATTAAGAATACCAAAGCATATTGGAATATTACTAGAAATAATTT